GGGGCATTTTGAGAAAGGGTCTCACTATGTAGTTGAGACTGACCTGGAACTCACTATGTAGCCCAGACTGCTCTCGAACTCACAGCGATCCTCCTGCCTCAGCTTCCGGAGTGCTGGGATTATAGGCATGTGCCACCACACCTGGCTGAGACCAGTGGAATTTAAAAGGAGGTACTCTACCTTCTGTCTTACTTTTCTTCTCACTTGTTCTCACTCTTTCATTTTCTCTTTCCTTGAGTTCTTGTTGCCTCCTTTTGTAATGGTTAGCTATTGTCATAATAATACTGAATAATAAACCACTCCAAATGTTGTGACTTAAAAAGACAATCTTTTTTCTCATGGTTGTGAGAGTTGGCTAAGGCAGCTCTGCTTCCTGTTACAGGCTCAAAGGTCTTGGTCAGCTGCTCATGTCTCATCCTCTTTGAACCAAAGGAATACCGAGAGCATGGTGACAGCAGAGGCACAACAGGTTAAGCCATACTGCTCAAGTGTAGTTAGAGTCCCTATTTGTGTTGTCTCATTGGTCAAAGGAAAACCATAGTGCCAGGTCCAAAACAAAGAAGCAAATGTTCTTTAATTTTTACCAACTATTCCTCAGACAAAGGTCTACTATATAGAATACATAAAGAACTTTGAAAAATGAGACCTCACAAATTAAATATCCAGTCCAAAAATGAGCATCTTAAATGAATAGACATCCCTGAGACAAAGAAGAAGAAATAGCAAATAACATGAAAAAATGGTCCACATCACTGGTCATTAGAGAGATGCAGATGAAAACAACACTGAGATTCCACCTCACCCCAGAAAGAATGGCTGCTATCAAGAAATCAACCAATAACAAATGTTGGCAGGGCTGTGGGGAAAAAGAAACCCTTCTCCACTGTTGGTGGGAGAGTAGACTGGTGCAAACACTGTGGAAATCAGCATGGAGATATCTCAAAAATCTAGGATTAGAGGTCCCATTTGACCCAGTGATTCCCCTGCTGCATATCTTCCCCCCAAAATTGAAAAAAATCCTGCCAGAGTGATATATGTGCACACATGTTCATAGCAGCTCAGTTTGTAATAGCTAAAACTTGGTAGCAGCCTAATTACCCATCAATTGGAGACTGGATAAAGAAAATGAAGTTTTTTTTTTATAAAAGGAGTACTACTCAGCCATAAATGAGGAGCTAGAGATATTTATGCTTAATGGAATCACATTGAAGCAATACTCTTAAGTGAAATAAATAGGACACACATATGTAGATACTTAATAGTGAGAAACTGAAAGTGTAAAAAAGGATCAAAATGTATAATAGATAATATGAAATAGGAAGAAAAGGTCCAAAGGGGAAGGGGAAGTGGGAGGGTAGAGGAAAGGAAAGAAGGGAAAGGAATAAATATGAGAAAAGGAAAAAAATAGAAACAAAGTCTTTATAAGTAGTGAGGGGTGGAGGGGTTGAAGGGAGGGCAGGGGAATGGGGAAAAAATAAAAACCAAGATATATTATGTACATTCCCAATAATGAATGTTAGCATATTGTATACCTAAAATGTACCAATAAAATTAATAAATGAAAAAAAACAGTGATATAATAAATCTGCACTGTTTAAGCTGCTAAAAAAAATGAAGCAAAAAAATTTAAAGCCATGATAAGAGTGAGGCTATCAGAAGCCACCACAATTGTGAGAATAAAGAATTGGGGTCTACTATCAGCAGTTTTATTCAAAACTATACTCAAAACATTATCCAGATCATTTACACAAGATACATACAGAAAAGAACTCAAATTATAATTAATTGCAGATGACATGATACATAGAAAACCCAAAGAATTCCACCCCAAAATTCTTAGAATAACCAACTTCAGCAGTGTAGCAGGACATGAAATCAACATGCAAAAATCTATAGCATTTATGTTCATCAATAATGAACTCAATGAGAAGGAAATTATAAAAACAGTATCATTCATGGTAGTGTCAAGAAAAATGAAATACCTAGGTATTAACCTAACCAAGGAAGCAAAAGACCTCTACAAAGAAAACTACAGTAATCTGTAAAAGGAGATTGAAGAAAACATCAGAAAATGGATAGATGTCTACTCCTGCATAGACAGAATCAATATAGTAAAAATGTCCATAATCTCAAAACTGTTATATAGATTCAATGTAGTCCGAATCAAAACACCAACAGCATGCATCACAGAACTAGAGAAAGCAATCCTAAGCTTCACATGAAACCAAGAAGAGATCCAGAATAGAAAAAGCAATGTTGGGCAATAAGAGAAAAGCAGGAGGTATCGCGTTACCTGACCTCAGGCTATGCTATAAAGCAACAGTAATAAAAATAGCATGGCACTGCAACAAAAACAGAGAAGTGAATCATTGGAACAGAACAGAGGATAGAGAAACATCTCCAGACACCTTTAGCTATTTGATGTTTGACAAAGTGGTAAAAGGCATGCATTAGAGGAAAGACAGCCTACTCAACAAATAGTACTAGGAAAACTGGACATCTTGTTTGCAAAACTTTGAAACTAGACCCAAATCTCTCACCATGTACCAAACTAAAATCAAAATGGATAAAAATCTAAACATTAAAGCAGAAACATTGAACCTACTAGAAGATAAAATAAGTACAAGACTTGAAGCCATAAGGGTAGGAAAGGTTTTCCTAAACAGCTCAATTTCTTTTTCTTTTTTTGTGAAGGAATAAGTCTTTCTCCCTACACTTTCATATAAAAATATATTACAGTTTCATTCTTTGATATGACTGTAAGATATTACATCCAGAAATATAGGAAAATGTTTAACCATGCCACATTGAATGTTTCGTGGACTCTCTAAGCAATATTTTCTTTTCTTTTCCTTTTTATTTTTCTGGTACTAGGGATTGAACACAGGACCCTGCATTTGCAAGGCAGGCAGCAGCACTACTGAACTAAATCCCCAGCCCAGCAATATTTTCTTTGAAAATAAATACTTTGAAATTCAAAAGTGAAGTATGTATCTTAGGGAGCTATTCCACTCCTGGGTATTTTATTCTACATAGATAGGTTCATATGTGAGAATTTAGTACCTATAAGGATATTTAGTACCTATAAGGATATTTATTGCAAGAGTTAAGAAACAACCCATAGTCTGTCAAAATTAACCCTCTGTAATATCATGTACTCCTGAATTTTCTGATTATCCCTTTCTTCTGTCTTTACTCATTCTCTACACAACTGTTTAAAAATTGGCACGGTTTTCATTTTCTCACTTTCTTCAGTCTCCCAGACCCTGATATACTGCAGTCTCATGGTTTTATACACTTAGAACTTCATTAACATTTCCAATCCAAAGCCTCCCTCTCAGCCCTAGACCTTGAAAAAACTGATTACATAAATCAGAGACATTCCTGCCACACCCAATTAAACAGAGCTGAGGGACCTTGAGAGAAACTCAAATGGCCATTTCAGAGGCTAGCTTGCAGGCCCAATCCAATGAAATGACTGTTGGGACAATAAGATAAAATTTTAGTTTGTAACAGCCACCATTCAGTAATCAGAGCATGGTAGCTTCCAAAAGACATTACCAGAACCTATAAACATGCTTCCAAAATTACTTTTGTGATATCTTCTTTCTCCAACACACCCCTCATTTTCCCATTTGTTCTCCACCCAAGTCGGTTTCCTCCAGTTGCAAAACTATCATTGCTTTCACTCACAAATAAAACTCTGTTGGAGATTTGTTCTATATGAGGTGTGATTGAAATATAGGGTGAATGCTTAAATTTTTGAAATATTTCAGCACAAGACACATCGCCACTAATTCCCCTCAAAAATAGTCCCCATTGCTTCTCCCACATTTATCCCATCATTTCTCCAACTTTCTGAAGCAGTTCTAGAAATTCTCTTTCTTGAGCATCTTTAGTTATGCTGTCAAGGCTGCCTTAATGTCTTGAGCTGACTCAAAGCATTTACTTTGCATGGTCACTTTGACTTTGGGAAAAGAGACCCAAGTCACACAATGCAAGATCTGATGAATAAGGAGAATAAAGACTCACCATAATGTTTTCACAAACTTGCCTTTCTGTGGGATAGCACTCAGCAACAGCACTCATTCTATTTTTTTATTGCATCTTGTAAAGACACTCACAAATGAGGGCTTCCAGAATTCCTTCAAAAACTGGCAAGAATTATAGGATAAGTGTGTTCAAAGTGAGAGGGAGTGTTTTGAAAAGGGTTAAGGGCAATGTATCCTTTAATGTAATATGTTTAAACATTCAACCTATATATTGATCACACCTAATATTTTCATTTGACTTTGATACCCTACATCCACCTGGCTAAATAACATCTCCATCAGTGTAGTTTACATTTTAAACATATTTAAAACTGAACTCGACCACCCCGGGCCTCTGAGCAGTGCAGACTGGTGAAGACTTGCAAAGTCCTGTGGAGCTAGGCTGCAACCCCACTCCCCATGCCCCGGGCCTATGAGCAGTGTGGACCAGTGAGGAATAGAGCCACTTGGGCACCTCCTGCAGCACCATGCCATCCCCCCCGCACCTCTGGCCTCCTGGATCCACACTGCAGAGGCACAAAGCCTCCTGGATCCACACTGCAGAGGCACAAGGGGTTGTAAAGACCATTGTGGTAAACTCCAGAAGATAGAACAGAAGTGAACAACAGAAAGAGGGCCTCTCTTAGGCTCCTTGATGAGAATTGAAGCCCACTGGAAAAATGAAGAGAAACTGCAATAAAGGCACACCAGACCACCACAACTGGTAAGTTGGAATGGTCACCACTTCCCATCAGAAGGTGGACTATCCCAAGAGAAAGGTTAGCTGTAAACAGCATGAGAAACTTGCAGAGTTCAACCCTGCAGGAGGTCAGGGAGCTCAACTTGGGCCTTGCAGCCAGAAATCAGCCTGAATCTCAGGGGTCTGCTGCTGACTTGCTCAGATGAATTGACTTAGAAATGTACACTGCTGACCAC